AAAATATATATATTTTTATTTATTCATTTTTTATTAAATGTTTTTATTTTTTAATTTACTTTTAGGGGCTTTGGGGAAATATTAGGGATCTAAACAGACTCCTGATATTTCCCTTTTTAAAATAGAAAAAGAGATTGAAAACACTGAGTCCTCAATCTCTTTTTTTGCATCCCCAGTTATCAATGAACAGGAATCCTCTGAGTGTTCCTGTTCATTCATAACATAGTATGATTACTATAACCACAATTATGAATGAGCAGAGCAGCGCCCAGCGGGGAGGAAAGACAGCACGGATGTGCCTATGTATCGGCAGGAAAATGGCACTTTAGCCAAAAGTGCCATTTTCGGCCGATATGTTTTGGCTGCCGATTTATCGGTGCATCCCTAGTTTCTACCTGTGGTGTCTAACAGATGCTTTACTATTAATGTGAAGGAAAAAGCCCTTTGATGTAGATGTTACCCTCCCTGAAGGACATTTCGATTGTTAAGCACTGTGTATCATAATTGCCATTTAAAAAAAAAAAAATATGTGTCTTAACCATTTTTGTTATCCTGTGTGACATCTGGGTGGTGATGATCTCCTGTAGCCTTTTTGCAACCACATCCTACATGCATTCTCTCCAGCGATTGCAGCTTGTCATTTTTGGGGCCAGGTTTCCTGATGGTGGCAACAGTGGCCGGTGCCTGCATAATATACATTATTATAGACATTTGTAGTTTTTATTGTAATCCCGGGTAACACGGTGGCTTCACAGAAGCGCAATTAGGAGACAGGGAAAGAATGTTCCATCTGTTCTTGTTAAAGGGTGACAACGAAGATCTTCATGTCAAGATCACAAGGTATTTTTTTAATTAAAATTTTTTTTTTTTATTTCGGTCTGTGTTATTGTTAAGCTAGCCATACACCATAAGTTTTTTCTCATTCAGCCTACAGGGCTAAATGAGAAAAACTACTCATAAAATCTAAAAGCTAAACAGCGTGGATGAGGAATCTCCACTGACAGCTATTGTATTCTGACAGCCAGTGCCACATCTGTCAGAATGCCTGTACAATTACTTCAGCTGATTGGCTGCACCCACTGTTCGGCTGACACAGCTACTAAGGGATTGAATTTCAGCAAATTCTGCAGGAAATGGGCAAAATTCAATCCCAGTATGGCCAGCTTTAGAGAGATGTCCCCTCGCTTCCTGTCCTGGGGACAACCTTTTTTACCAGACAGAAAGTAAAGGAATCTCTCAGACGGAGCCTCCAATGGCAGTAATCCCTGACAGGAATTCAAAGCCTTTTCCACTCTGTCCAAAATAAATATTGGCTATATGGTAGATAGACTTTGAAAGATACAAATCCGTTGGCTATGCATGCTCTGAACGAATGGCTATATATAATGACGTATATTCATGTAATGAAAGAGACACACGATTCAGTAACACAGATATGAACTGTTTCTCCGAGGCAGTCAAGTGTCTTGACTAAGGTGTTAACTTCCCTGAAGATTCTCTTTTGTTTTTGTTGTAAGTCAATTTTTGAATAATCTCAGTTTTTTTCTAATCTACATTCACTCCAGACGCATGCATTTGTACGATCACAGGCAAGCCTTATCCACATTTGTCTTTTGGCTTATGTGTGTATCCCTATGTCAGGAGTGGGCAACTCTGACCCTCCAGCTGTGCTTTAACTGCAAATCTCAACATGCCTCTGCCTCTGGGAGTCATGCCTGTAACTGTCAGCCTTGCAATGCCTCATGGGACTTGTAGTTCCACAACAGCTGGAGGGCTAGACTTGCCCACCCCTGCCCTATGTTATATCACACACAGAGCTATAGTAATCCCATAGGTGATCCAGTACAAAATTAATGCTAGGCATACATATGGTCATTTTCTATCAATTTCCATCCATCAGTTTTTGATCACAAAAATAATCTTGCCTTGATCCGTTCAGTTGTTTTCCAATCAAAAGCTGATTTAAGGTCAGTGTAATTGCTAGCAAGTTGTTTCTGTGTGACAAGCTTTAGAAAGCGAATAAGTTCTGTATAACCTATGGAGAAATGAGTGATATGCATATGAAGGATATATTTACAGTTGATGTCTTTAATCTTGAACAATAGACAAGTTATTGATATTTAAAGGAATGTCTTCTGCTGTTTCAGTAATGTGGAGCCAGGAGTATTGAAACGGATCAAGGAACTTTGGCAGTAAGTTGGTCTATTTACACTGACTATGGTTTTTAATTGTTCAGCAATATATCCTATACTTAAAAGCTGTCCGAGATTTTGAAGTATGCTGTGTTCATCATTCACTAATATCCCTTTGGTATAAACTACCACCTAACTTCTTCTGGCTAGTTCAGAGTACTAGACCACCACTGAAGGTATGGTGAGGTGGACTGAAGGGAACCAAAACAGACCCTTCAGTGTTGCTGTCAAATATTGGATTTCCCTCTGCCCAATACAATATAGTCTAATATCCCTTCCTCACCAAATTAAAGGCAAAAGGAAGCATTTTCTTATTCTGAATTCCCCGTGATCACTTGCACAGACTGTACATTGTAACTTTCTGGCAATTCACAGGAGGAAAGGCAGCAGTAGGAGTCTCAGGTGTACAAGACAATCTGAAAACACCAACTCAGACTATAAATGGCTACTGTAAAGGAACAGGAATTTACATGACCTGATCATCTCTGGGCCACCAGATTAGTACAGATACGTTCGTGTGTAATGTCTAAACTAGAACGACGCTGACCTTCTGCAGAGAAAGTTGAAGCCTTTTTCAAGTAGAGTGCTATGCTAATACGTGTGTTACACTTATACATTACTGAGCATACGTGCATTTAATATGGAGACAATATTTGACTGTAGGATATATAACTATATAAATAACAATTCATAATTTGTACTTGGAGATATTCTCAGATATATAGTAGAAACACAGCCTAAATATAAAGTGATTCACTTATGTATAGTTTTTTAGTGGGTTTTCACCATTGCAAAATAGGAAAATGATGTCTTCTATGATGCTGAGTTTTGGCACAGAACAACCTATAAGGTTACAGTCACATGAGCAAATTTCACTCGGAAGGCCTTATGCTGCCAATGGATTATTGTATTTACTAACCAGTGCTTGATAATATGTTGTCTGTGTTCTAGGATGTATATGACAGAGCTTCAAAAGAAGGACTCCATGTCAGACATGAACTCATCAGGTCAGTGTGGTAGTGCTGGGCTCTATTCCCTTTTATGTGATCTTTATGCATGTGTGCAGGTCTCCATATCTTTGAATATGATAAATAAATATTCCAATATCACATTATTTTAATGCTTTTCTGAGGTCAGTGTAACCCATAAAAGATGGCCATCATCTGGTGTTCATTTCTGGAAGCTGTAAAAGTTCTGGGGCAGAGCTGACTTGTCCATTGCCATGCCCAATGATATGCCTCCCCTAGCTCTAACACAGCTTCTGGAAATCACACAGTGGCAATGCCCAGTCTGCAGTGCCAAATGGAAGCCTGAGCTGTAACAAGAATCATGCACAAAGGACTTGGGTTAAAGGACAGTCAGGGTTGTAAATGTGTCTTCTGAAATATGCTCCTTTGTAACAAGCAAGAGATAGCCAAAGTGATGGCACATGCACCAAGCTGGCCATTATTCTCTGTAGTTGTCTTTTTGCACATGCACAATATATTAAGGAGCACTGGGGTGCTGGATCACAAACTGAGCAGGTGTTAAATATTCTACTTTATTGTTAATTCAATATGTTTTGCACTGTAATGAAAAACCAATTATAAATCAAACACCATAAAAAAAATGTGAGAAGGCCGGGTATCGGATTAGCATAAAAAAGTAATCACATGTATATAAAATGTTGATGTATGTGCATAGGGCCAGCGATGGCACCAGGGTGGGCGTCACCCGGTGCGGCCATTGCACATTAATAATGACGTCTGTGGTGTGACAGCATCACGCATGCGCAGTGATGTACTTCACTGCCAGCGTCCATCACCAAGATGGGGAGGAGATATTAACCCAGCGGGATCAGGTATGTTGCCGGATCCCCCAGTTTCTCTGGTCCACTGAGCACTGGTTTTGGTATCCTGTTTTAGGGTGGCTCCTTTGCGTTGCAGAGTTATATTGAAGCATCCTTGAGTGTGCTAATAAGCCGTGTGTCTCCACAAACACAGCAAGGCAACGCACTCCTCTCCTTCCAGATCCTCCTTTTTTCAAGCTAGTAGATGGGCAGCTGCTGGAGACTGTGCTGTCCCTTGTGATTGTGTACTAGACAGGAATTCAGTGAATTGGAGCTGAGAAAGTTGGAGGCAGCTGTTTGGAAACATGATGACTGTAAATGTTTGGGCAAAAATGTCAGATCTACTTTGCTGGACAATGTATTTATTTGACTGGATTCATTATTGAAAAAAAAGGTTTGAGAGTTTAATACGATTTTAACTTCCACTGGTGAGCCATAGATATAGCAAGGGCTGTATTATGTCTGAGCCCTTATCCAAGATTGTTGACGGTGAGATAGACCGATTCTAATACAAGTTGATTTTTCTCTTATTTTTGTCTTTAAATTAGATATTTCGCTTACTCAGTTACTTATGATTGCAAGTGAAGAGAAGCTCGGTGAATTGAAATCCCTTGCAGAGCAGTGTCTTGATCTTAACTCATATGCCACCCAAGACATTTCACCACAAGCTAGAACATTATGGAGTACAGAGATAAGAAACAACAAGGTAGCACTTTGGTTATTTTTGTACATTTAAAGCCTAATTGAACCTTCAGTTTATATCAGCTAAATACATTCCAGATGCATCAAAAATGTGTTCAATCTCTTTCTAAAGCAGCCACAGCCTGTTTAGAAAAGCCTGGTTGGAGAGCTCTTGATCAGATTCAGCAAGGGGCATGTCAGACAACACAGATCACTACGGTCACACTCTGCAGCATGAAACTTTTTTTTGCTCACATTTAATAATTCACATTTTAGGCCTGAAAATTACCTAATTATACACCCCCAACCCCCAGAATTATATATTTCCTAAGAGCTCAGGCCCTGTAAAACAAAAAGGGTGTCAGTTGCAAATTTTTATGTTGCATAATATTAGTGCAACTCTTTATCAAGCCCAAAACTTTATAAAAAAAAAAACCAAATACACAAGTTAATTTTAGTGCCCAAAAACACAATACCCAATTTTTTGGTAAATGATAAAAGATGAGGTTGTGCCGAGTAAATAGAAACCCAACATGCTAAGCTTAAAAATTGCGTGCGCTCATGAAAATACGTTACGCTAAATTGTCCATAGATTGTGCCCTTTCCCTGCCAACGACGTAAGGCAATATGGCAGAACACCAGCGCTTCCAGCTGACCACCACAGTATGCCTTACGTTTCTGTCTTTTACCCTTCTTCTTTAAGCTCATGGTTGCTTCAGCAACCTTGAGCTTATAACGGAAGGGTCTCCCCGACGGTCTCCTGTAAGTTAATAGCTGCCCCCCCTGCCGCCGCAAGTTCTGAGGCTCTACAGCTCTCTCCTCAATTCTCCTGCTGGCTCCATGCTCAGATCTGTGTCTCTCCCCCCCACCCCCCCTTCAATCCCTGCTGCTCTCCCCTGCCTGTATCGGCAGAGGCAGCGGGGACTGAAGGAGACACAGACCGCTGCAGCCAGCAGGGGGGGCGGAGGAGAGAGTGGTGATAGGATGCCAAGTGGTGAGGAGAGCTGTTCTCAGGATGGAGAGTGGGTGGAGCTTCACTTCCTGTTCATTCACAAGTTGGGACATAGTGAGCTCACTATGTGCTCAGTTTATGAATGAACAGGAGAACTCAGTAAAGAGGCTTCCTGTCCATTCATAACTGGGGGGAGTACTAAGCCTCCTCAAATTGTAAATGAACAGGTAGCCTCTGTACCGAGTACTCCTTTTATTCCATGCTGAAGCTGCCGAAAAAAAAGAGATTGCGGACTCTGAGTCCTCAATCTCTTTTTCTATTTCAAAAGGAATTTTTGGAGAATGTTAACCACTTCCGGGCCTTTTCTTGGTGTCATTTTAAACAGCTGGTGATGGCTGTTCAGGTACAAGCGATCCGGCGTCTATGCAGCCGCTGGATCGTTTGTACAGATCGCCGACATGTGCTGCCCTGGGTTCCGCTGTCACCTGTGCCGGGCCCGGAAACCCTCATGGCGGGTCTCCCCGCAACAATCAGAGAGAGATCAGCAGTCTTCCAGGCGCTGATCTCTCCTCCGATCACTAAGCCAGAAGTGATGTTTATTGCATCACGTCCAGTGCCACTGCGCCTACGTGCCAAAACGAAAATTGCACTACACATATCGCCGCGAACGTCACAGTGAGAGCAATAATTCTATAGCCATTAATCACTGTTAGTACTAAATTGATGAGCAGTAAAAGCTTTTAAAATGTCCCCTATGGGAAATTTTGGGTATTGAAGTTTTTTGCTGCTTCACCGATTAACGCGATTTTAAGGCTTGACATGTTTGGTATCTATTTACCCGACGTGACCCTGTCTTTTATATTTTACCAAAAAAAACTACTGGTTTGATAAACATTTGCGCAAATACCATACGACATAAAAAATTGCAACTAGCATTTTTTTATTCTACAGGGCCTCTGTGTTTAGAAAATATATCATTGTTTGGAGGTTTTGAAGCTGTTTTCTACCAAAAATTTAGATTATATCATGTGTGTGCAAATAGTAAGAAATTGCTATTCCGGACAGCAAGTGGTTAACTCCAAAATAATGAATCTTATCCTTGCAGCAAGCAATGGGATAGGATGCACTCCATTTTGGTTTACTTTCTTTAAATATAGAGCATTTGATTTAGCTTGGTTTATGGCGTACTCTGATGTGTTACTGTATCCAGTTATGCGTGATATGTGGGGTAGTGTTATTTTTTTGAATGGAGATGTCAGGCAGGTTGTCAGCAAATGTGGTTATTTTAATCTGCCGATTTCTCAGTGAGGATGCCTTCAAATTCTAGTAATGTATAAAGTAGGTGGTCTGATGCCAAGTTAAATAAGATAGGGGATAATAGGCATCCCTGTTCTGTGCCTCGTTTTCTTAGTAATGGGGTTGGAGAGTTGCCTATTAATCAACAATTTGGTTCTAGGGCCTTTGTAGATAATACTCCTATATATGTTGTGATGGTATAGCCAAATGTTCTGGTCAACAAAGTGGGGTTAACTAAGTGCAATTCTGTTTTTTAAAGTGCTTTCTCTGCCTTTAGCCTTATAATGTTGTGTTTTGTGTATTTACAGAGGAATGACCACACTTTTTCAATTCCGATAAATTTGCTCCTTATCCCTCCAGAAGAAGAAGCGGCTCTGGAGCAGATGTCAGGTACACTTAATAGGAAACTCACCTTAGATGCAATGTCATGCAGGTCAGCAATGCTTGATCTTGCCTCGCCTTCGCCTTGCCTTATATCATCAAATGTTGTTTTACTGTGGTGCTGAACAATTATTCCTCTTCCTCGCAGCATCAAAGTAGAGATATGTCTGTTGTGAACATAGTGTTACTTCTCAATGGTTAGTGTGTAGTTGGTCCAGTGCAAGTCACCAACTTCACACTGGATGAAATATGTGCTCACCTGTAACCTTAACTACAAATATCCCATTTTGACCAATCTGTAAATAACACTTTCTTCCACTCCAACACCTGGTTGTGACTAACAGATTATGTGGATTGGAGCGACATTCACCATATTTATTCCCACAGCATTTTTTATACAAGTAATTCTGAATTGAGAAAGCTGGACGGATGTCCAGTGAAACGTCTTCAAGAAAAATACAGCAAGTCCAGTTGCCTTGACTTATTTTTTACAGATACTCCTCAGTGGTAAAATATTAGGCCTCATACACATGGTAAAAATTGCCAGCTGCAGCAAGAATCCAGCATATTCCTGCGGCTGGATTCACAGGTGAATGCGGATAGTTGCAGCCACTGAGCCTGTACAAAGCAATACCAGGCTGACCGCAGCTGTCTGCCAGTGTTTGGATGTAATTGGCCATGGATCGATTTCCTGCGGTTGGGGACACGTGATCGCCTCTGGAAACAGCTCGCATCTGATAATCCGTGCCTAACCACAGATGTGGTTGCTTAGTACAAATTAGACAATGAACATTACCACCCTCTTTGTATTTTTACCATAATGCAATCTTTTAATTAATAACTTATTAGTGCATATAGCAGAATGAAAGTACCATGTGAAGTTACCACATGCCATGAAATATCTGAACATCTAATGTACCTAATGTATGTGTGTGCCTGATGTCATACGGGTAATTTTTCAGCAGCAGTTTAATCGCTGCTATAAACCGCTAATGCCAGTTATTGGTAGCTAACGATTTAATAGCTAAAGTTGCTGCCAGTTTGTCCCTAAGAAAGGATTTCTCCCTGCTGAGGTTAAACTAGTGATACATCATTAGGTTGGCATGCTCTGCTTTACATCACTCTCATTCAGTGATTGGCAGCCAAGCCCTAGAGGCGACTGCAGAGCGATAGTCACTGGCAAGCTTGTCGCCAACATGAATCACTGCACAAACTCAATCACTGAGCTACCGATTTCTGTAACACTAGCAAGTTAGTGATACTATAGAAAATAACTCATGAGAAATTGCTTTGTATTGTATTGTATTGGTGCTTCTAGTTTTCTAAAGGATTCTGGGATTCTGGTCATTTTAACAAGCCAGCAATAATTTCCTCTGCCCAATATGAACTATTCAGAACTAAAACTCTGTCCCCAGTGACCCAGTTATTCCCTTATTGGGCACCGTCATCTTGACCAGCATAGAGAACCTGAAGCCAGGTTGTCAATCCCAGCCTGTACTTCAAAGACACCTGTGCCCTTCCCATAACATCAGATGTCACTGCTCTCTGCTTATGTTAGCATCCAGGTTAGAATTACTGGAGATGAATATGAGGGATTAAATATTGACTTTCCACAAAAGTTATAATTCGCATATTACAGGTGAAACTCGAATAATTAGAATATCGTGCAAAGTTCATTTATTTCACTAATGCAACTTAAAAGGTGAAACTAATATATGAGATAGACTCATTACATGCAAAGCAAGATAATTCAAGCCGTGATTTGTCATAATTGTGATGATTATGGCTTACAGCTCATGAAAACCCCAAGAACCCCAAATCCACAACCTCAAAAAAGTATAATATTGCATGCAATCAATAAAACAAGGATTGTACATAGAACAATATCGAACCTCTGAAAAGTACAAGCATGCATATGTACTCAGTACTTGGTTTGGGCCCCTTTTGCAGCACTTACTGCAATTACTTTTGCACGATATTCTAATTATTCGAGTTTCACCTGTATAAACAAAAGCATGCATTTAAAACCGCTGATGGCGCAGATTATGAGGATACCACAACGATTGGGTAATGGAAAGGTTCATTTTAAACATGTCATAGCCCACCTAAAATTGAATTGACTTGAGCTTTAAATAGGGAGATTCTGTTTTTAGCAGACTACTGTTCTGAGACTTAAAAATAATGTTTCCTTTTTGTTCCAGAGTTCAGACCTGATGTTAATTCTGCCAGTGATGCTGATATTTCTTCTGAAGATTTGGACCATGATGGGTCGGATTCATGTGAGTCTATGCACCGGGCTCTGACAACTTCATGCTCTATTTTAGCGGGTTGCTCTTGCGTCCTATCCTCCTAAGGCTAATTAGAGATTCTGTCTGAAGTTTTATGCTGTACACGAGCGGGCTCATTGGAGATCAGCTAATTGCATAGTGGTTTTCCAATTCTTGGTCAAGCTATTTTTAGACTTATAGCAATATGTGCTTAGACCTGAATTGAACTTGCATGCCTATCACACCTGTAAAGCTTCAGTATGGAAGTGGTGGGCTCCCAAGGTAGTGTTGCTCTGCAGGAGGAAAGGGGTGTACAGAGGTGCAGACCTAAATGTAAGAGATGGTTTACTCATACTTGGTCTTGTGCTTTGGCTCCCCCATAATAGGACGTACTGAGTATTTGTGACAACAGGCAAAGGAGTGTTTGGCAGGTGAGTATAAGTGGGTCAAAGGGTGGGCTAGTAAGAGACTTTGCCCTGAATGTGATTGTCTTCAACAAGAGAGATTTAAGTATGGATATCTAACACATTGTATAACTTCCTGTGACTTTAGAAGACTGCGCAGTCCTGCCCTGCATCATACAATGAAGTCTTTTGACGTCTTTAATTGGACATCGCCAACAGATGTGTAGAGCTAGGTTAGGAGCTTTACAGGGGTATTCACAAAAGGGTGAAGAGTCTGGAGAAGGCAGGAGAAGGGAACCATCTAGGACAACATAGCTGAACTGGAAAGTGAGCTGAATTGGAGAATATTTCCAAATCAGCTATGTTGTCCTAGATTGTTCACTTCTCCTGCCTTCTCCAACCTCTTCACCCTGCATTGAATAGCCCTGTTAGTTTTCAATATGATTGTGTATTTTTTTATTTATTCCAATGTTTAACTTTTAAGTGATTTTTTTAATTAGCTTTTTTTTATCTCATTTTCATATATTTGCAATTGTGAATATAGCCAACTAGAAGGAGTTCTCAGTGGTACTTTGCAATTACTTTGTCCCTCTTAACGTGAGAGAAGATATTAGCCACACAGGGAGGGCATGTTTTTCAGTGTGTCAGCCATTGTGAATAGTTTTGCATTGTGAGAATGAGCAGAATAGCATTACCATTGAGTAGCAATGCAAAGCCAAGTTTGCAGATATATTAGGCAAATATGACTGCCCTTCCCCCATGTAAATGTTTTTCAAGTTAAAAGACTATAGATTCCTATTACCTGAACATCTGCAGGCAGCAGTGATACATAAATATATGAGTCAATTTTATTGCTTTGTAGTAAATCACTTTCCATCAGTTACAATTTTTGTGGTCTACCCAGACATAGGTCTGGGTAGGATTTAAAATGTTTTTTGTTTGATAGTTCCAAGGTATATATTTTAGGTTGATCATTTCTTTTTATTAAACATCATTATTTGCTATGTAGTGTTATCCAATGCACTGCATTATACAAAATGAGAGTTGCTGGTAAAGTCCTGGTCCACCTTTGTTACCATGTTTCATATTACACCCATGTTTAGGGTACACAGCCTGAAACATGGTCACATTCCCTAACCCCCAACCATCAAACTGCCCTTCCCCAGCCTGAATTGTGGGGTTCTTTTGCATGCAGCATTTTGTTTTTTTAAACTCCGTGTGGCTTTGAATGGATCTGGTGGATTACAAGTCTTATCTACCACCACGGTAGAGAAACTTGTAGGTCTCAATGGGGAGCACAAGTGCGATGACATCACTGTACATGTAGTGCATTTATTACTTCCTCCAGCCCCACAATGGTAGGTTTATACACACCTGGGGCTAGGGAAGGAGTCTGTAGGAGCTTGTGCAATGCACCTGCAATGCACTGATCGTGCTTGCAATGCTCTGCAGGCCTGAATGAAAGAAATTCATAAATGGCAATTGTTTCCTTTTATCAATATAAGGGCATTTTTTTTATATATAAAGTGGACAATGCCTTTAAAAGCTGCAGTTTGGTGGATTGTAAGTAGGGATGCACCAGTTTTTTGGTATCATGTACGAGTAACAATATTTATATTTCGCTACTCGCCGATACTGAGTACTGATACCGGTACTTCCGCTAGCATGGAGCCGGCTTCCCGGCCAATCAGGAAGCCGGGGGTGAGTCATTAACCGGCGCCTGGCTTTCTGATTGGCCGTGAAGCCGGCTCCATGTTCCCTCGCAGCATTACTGGTCAGAGGAAATCTCCCTCTGACCAGAAGTTCCGGTATCGAGGGTAGGTATCAGAGCATTTGGGCGAGTATGAATACTATTATCGGTGCATCCCTAATTGTAAGCATATCCCAGTAAAGAGAATAGCTGTGATGATGCAATAAAGACACCCAGCCAGTGGTGTTAGTTTGGCATTAAATTATTTTGACACTTCATCCTCAGTGACTTTTGTTTTGCAGATCTACTTTGGTCCTCTAGTCTACAACACACATAGTTGCAGAGCAGCCACCCCCGGGGAGTCTGTCTCCCTTTGGATATCAGTGTATACACAAAAACACTGCACTATATTTTTCTGTATCCAAGGTGCTGGTATACATACAAGAAAACATTGAATAACCCTTAAACATAGTCCGTAATAAGAAAAACAGAGGCTGCCATTGCTAAACTCATTTTAAACATACTAGTTGCCAGACTGTCATACTGACTATGACTTCTTTACTAACTGATTGGGACACCTTCCTTCCCACTGGTGAAATGGGTCTCCCCCCCTCCCCCCCCCCATAGGCTAACTGCATCACCTGGTGAATTCTAGCATTATAGCCCAACCTTAATGCTGAGATGCAGGCTAAGCAAATATCTTCTAAATACAAGAGGCATGGTGTTCTTTGTGTATTCCTTCCAGATCTGTACAGGTATCCTTCATAAAACATTTTCTGCATTTTTCTTCTGTGCAGGGGTTTCCTATGATAGAGACCGAAAACTTCTGCTCTCTCTCTTGGTGCAGGGTGACAGGTCTTGTATCCACCCCCTTGTAGTTTTCTGCAATCCACTTGTATGGTAGGACCTGCTGGGTCTCACCTAAAGCTCTGCTGTCTGTACAGGCTTTGCGGCTCAGTGATAGTGTCATTGCTACTTTTGCAAGGTTAAGCAAAGGCATTTAGTGCACACTAAGTTGAATTCGATCATTTGTGGGTATTGATGAATATAATTACATAAAGGTTTTTGGGCCCAGAGTTCAGCAGTTTATTATGATGAAGAATTATTGGCTCCCTACAGGTGATTTTACTCATGCACCGATACCGATACTAGTATTGGTATGGATACTAAGTATTTTGATAAGTACTTGTCCAAATGCTCCCGATGCTATCCCAATACCGGAACTTCCGGTATCAGGAAGCCAGCTGGCGAGTCATTACACGCTGTCCGGCTTCCTGATTGGCTGGGAAGCCGACCCCATGCTCCCTCGTCGCTTGGTGACGAGGGAGCATGGGGCTGGCTTCCCGGCCAATCAGGAAGCCGGGCGGCATGTAATGACTCGCCACCCAGGGTCCTGATTGGCCAACTTCCCAACCAATCAGGAAGCTGGGCGGTGAGTAATTACACGCTGCTCAGCTTCCTGATTGGTCAGAAAGCCGGCTCCATGCTTCCTCGTCACCTGGTGAAGGCTTCCTGGCTAATCAAGAAGCCAGGTAGCGAGTCATTACACCCCACCTGGCTTCCTTAATGGGACTTCTGGTATCGGTATTCAGTATCGGCGAGTACCTAAAAAAAGACATATTGGTACTCGATACCGAAAAATCGGTATCGGTGCATCCCTAATATTTGGTTATGCCAGATGTTCTTTATGGCATTACTGTGGGTATTGAAACTGCTGAAATAATGCCCCATGTGTAGACAGCCTTATCTTAAAGTGAAATTGTGCTTACTGACCTCCATCTATCTTTGTTCATAAATTAATGTAGGTCATTGATCCTTGAATTGTATCTACAAATTTAGGAAGACATTTTAGTCTGCTTAAAAAAACACTTCTGGTTAATCCATTTGCAGCTCAACAATATAACAGCGCAGTATCAACGCTCTCCCAGGAGCCTATGGAAGATGCTTTTTACGGTCAGCCAGGAAATCCCTGGAACAACCTGCCATCTATTTGTGTCAGTGGCTCTATAGGTTCTGGTAAGTAGATGAGTAGAACTAGGAACAATATAGGGATCTGCCTATGAGTATATGTTAAAGGAGAACTATGGGGCTAGGCTTTTCCCCATAGTTCTCCTAAGGGTAACGGAGGACACAAACTAGCGTCCTCCCGTCACCCAAAGCTCAGTAATACTGAGACGCCGCAGCCGGAACTGATCCCAACAATTATGTCTGGATCCACCCAGCTGCGTGAGAGGCAGAGCCCGCTGTCTATCTAGAGGCAGAGCCAGCTGTACCCGCCCCCTCCCCCATCCGTTCCGCCAGTCAGCGCTGGAGGATCGGACAAGGGAGGGGGGAATCCAGCCCCTCCCATGTCACGGCTCTCATTTATGATTAACTCTAAACTGACGAGGTGTAACGGCATTTAAAGCATTCCTTATCGATAATTTTGGGTACTTTAGTCTTGCGGGTGTACTTAGTTTTGAGGTCTGTAATATTTGGTATTTATTTACATGAGACAAACTCATCATTCATTTTTTACAAAAATATTGGGGATTATAATGTGTTTCTGTGTACCAAAATGAATTTTAGTGTATTGTTTTCCTGAATATCTAGATTTAATACACAGTTGCACAAATATCATACTGCATGAAAATGTTTGCCGCCTTCCGGGACCTCGTCCAGTCCTCCCCCAGCCAGGTAAGACATCCCCCGAAAATAAGACCTAGTGTCTTATTTTGTGCAAAAAAAAAAAATAAGACAGTGTCTTATTTTCGGGGAAACACGGTATATTTTTATCCTATAGGGTCTCTGCTTTCAGGAAATATATAACATTATATAAAAACAATGCCAAAAAGGCAGATTTTAAAGTGTGTGAAAAATGAAACAAATGGTCAGGCAGCAAAAGAACAATGACTCACCCCTGTGCCTCCATGGCTCCTTTAAACCCTAAGGCTGCATGGAAATTTCAGCTTCAGCTATTGAGCTTTATAAACAACGGGAGAGCCTAGAAAATATTTCCTAATGTGCTGAGAGCTCCACCTGCTGGGTGGATATATACATATAAAATATTCTAATACCATATTTCATATTTAACTGACTAAAATGTTTAAAAAAAATGTTTTTAATTTCAACCATAGAAAATATGTTCATATCTGCCGTGCACTTTACATTACCAAAGACAATGTTTTTCCTGGGACCTGTTTTGTTCTGTGGTAGTACATCTATTTAATTCTGAGGGTAATTCAGGCAGGCCCTCAGTCATCTGAAAGACTACACTTGAAGCTGAACTCCAGGCAGATATGAAAGATACAAATTGATACAGCTAGGTATTCATTCATAAAGTATTTTGTTATGCAAGGAGTTATGTATAACTGCTTATATTCATATAAGTTATGAATTTGACATATCAGCTTCTTACTGTCTACTGTACAACCAAACTCAGGCTAGGCGAGGTAAAAGGAGCCAAAGGGAAAAGCAGAAAAGGAACATTCAGGTAGGAGGATAGAGCAGAGTGACTGAGAGATGAGTGCATCAGTCTGCTGCTTCTCCTTGTACTCTGCAATCACAGGTTGGGGAGGAAGACTTGTAATTGTCTTTCTCCCCCTAAAGGAGAACTATGAGGTGAGTGCTTTTCATAGTTCTAGCCGACCTGTGACAATGAGACTGTCACAGGTCGGCTCAGTAGATCGGGAGGTGAGCGAACATATACCGGCGTTCGCTCACCTCTCCATCCTGTCACGGCTCTCTGCCGTGACAGGGAAAGGGCTGGATTCCCCCCCTCCCCGCTTCGATCCGCCAGTGCTGACTGGCGGAACGGACGGGGGAGGGGGCAGGTACATCTGGCCTCTAGATAGGCAGAGCCAGCTGTCACTCACGCAGCTGGGCGGATCTCGACATCGATGTCGGGATCCGCTCCGGCTGCGGCGTCCCGTTACCCTAAGGAGAACTATGGGGAAAAGCCCTGACCACATAGTTTTCCTTTAACAGTTAAGCAAGTAGTGGAGTAGCCCCACTGCAAGGGTTAATAACTTGGCCCAGAGTTTGGTAATAATAAATGTTTTAGAATTTAATATAGGGGGAACTGTTTTTTTTAGCGCCGTAGCGCTGAATACTGAAAAATGGCCTGGATGGGAAGGGGGTTTAACACCCCGGACTTCAAGTGGTTAATACTTAAAGCCGAACTCCAGGCAAACTGCTAAATACACAGAAAAGATACAGCAGAGAAAGAGTTTTTTTTAAATCTGAAATGGGTTGTATTAATATGATTTCACTTGTTGTTAGGCACATAATCTTAAAGTGATATTAAAGCTTAATTTTTTTTTATTGTTTTAAAAAGGAGGCCCATACCTTTTTAAAATTCAGTTGTTGTTTTAAATACAAAATGTTCCGTTCTTTATTCTCTAATGGGTCCCTGCAGCGCTCTCTCCCCCACCCCCAACCACCCCCTGCAAGGGTGCCACCATCAGCTAAGCAGCTGCTGTGGAGGCACTCATGCGTGCTCGCTCCCGGCCGTGCCCGCAAGTGGCTGTGTCCGTCCATAGACACGCACAACCCTGCGGCAGGCCACGCCCCTCCTCTCGGCCCAGCGGGTTGATTGACAGCAGAAAGAGCCTATGGCTCCTCTGCCCTTAATCTCCTCCCCCCTCCCCCCCCCCTGCAGCCAGGAAGTTCGGACGGAGGATCGCTTTGGGGACCGGTAGCGGTGACAAGCAGCACTGACAGGTAGGTCTGGGGGGACAGGGGACACAGTAAGGTACTGGGCGTTTTTTCCCTTAATGCAGAGAATGCATTAAGGGAAAAAACGCCCAGTACCTTACTGTGTCCCCCCACACTTACCTGTCAGCGCCACTTGTCACTGCCACTGGTCCCCAAAGCGATTCTCCGTCCGAACTGCCTTGCCTTTAGTGATCCTTTAAAAATACTGTAAAGTTAAAATGTGAAATATTGTATGTAAATAAATAAAATGTTTTTTTAAAGGGGTTTTCCTGTCTCATGGAAAAAGTGTACTGTCAGTTAGTGGTCCATTTATTATTGTTTGACTATTTTTATTTATTTTTTAGTTGCCTCTGACCCTTTCATCACTCAGCAGAACAATGAGAAAGATCCAGCTACAGATTCAGACAGCACCCCAGATATACCTCACTATCATCATGATAAATCACTGAGTGGCTCATCTGAAAGCCAGGATGAGACTACGCCACTGAAGCCTTCTAAACTACTATCCCACCAGATACAGTCTGAAGCAAAAATTTCTCCAAGCACAAATCAAACACGAGCTTCAAGTAGTGATTCTGATCTCCTGTCTAGTCAGAGGAGACTTTCAGACTGTAGCCAAAGCTTGCTTAGCTTAATACCTCTTGTCCAAGGCTCCTCAGGTCAGATACACACCTCTCCACAAAGAAAAGCAGCCTTGGAGAGTAAAGTGCCATTAAGTCCCATATCAACGTATGGTTCAGGAAACAATCGTGATTATAAAATTATTAGAAACATTTTCCCAGCAAATGGTAGAAGGCACATTGAGACCTGCCATAGCCCCAGAGAGTGGAAGGCAATGAAGAGGAAGCAAGCTCCAGAAGATCTAGATCCCATACGCTCTGACCAAGAGCAACAAGCAGCAGTCCATCCAGAAAGGCCAGACTGTGCAGCTGCTGTGATGTCTTCTGAGTCCACTGCAATCAATGGAACTCAGACAGAAACAGATAGCAGTACTGAAGAAAGAGCTAAAACAACTAATTATACCTGTATGTATAAAAAGCAAACAAGAAGAGAACAGGTAAATAAAACGGCAAGCACTGACATTGCAGTAGCATGTGCAACAACTCCAATCAGAAAGAAAACACTGCCACATAAACCCTGTCTAGAATTTGTGACCAAACCAACAATGAAGGCGCCAGAAAACTCTGAAAATGCACTGCCTGCTGCAGACTTACCGACAACAAGCTCTAAAGATCCTTCCAGTGTATCTCATGGACAGACCTCTGTTTTTCAGGCACCTGTTCTAGAAATGAAGAAGACAAAAATGGTGAGGAGTTCTGTTGTCTTTCCTGCAATCATATTTTGTACCATTCATTCTAACTCCGGGTGTAAAATTCAAGATCCACACAGTTTGTATCAGCGAAGAGCTATACATTAACATTGTATGTTCTCTAAATCAGAGCCTGATAAAAGCTTTTCCATTGAGGGACACAGGAAGTCTTTACCCTTGGGCTGACCGCCCAGATGTTACAGCGGTTTGAGTGAATCATGAACCTTTCACAAACCGTCATTACAATTGACTCCTTTGGATTGTCCTGGACACGCCTGAGTGTTCACAGTTAGAATCTTAGACTGGGGTGTCTAAAGTTTCAAGGATGCTTTCACAGGAATAACTTTAGACACTCTAGTTCTGGAGACATCCGCGGAATGGCTCTGCATGTGGTTTTGGTTATGAGAGCCTATATCTCAGCCATTGATTCTCTTTTTCTCACCCCATAAGTGTGCACCAGCTTCTCATTCCACCATCTGTAGATTATTTTGGCAGGCCATCATTGAAGGGCTGGGTTCCACTCTTTCCTTTCAAAATCAGACTCTAGATCTGTGAGTGCTTTTTGCATCACGCAAATGTTTCACAAATATGTAAGGCTGCCATGTGGTCTTCTGTTCACACATTTTCTAATCAATACCAGGGGAATGTTTTGGCCTGATCTGATGCTAGCTTCTGTTAGTGTTTGCGGTGTTGCCCATCCCTCATTTGGACTGCTTGCAGAAGTCCCGAAAGTTTTCCTGTGTCCATCAATAGACAAGAAAGAAAATAGGGTTTTTGTGCTCTGCGTAAAATCCTCAATGGACTCCCAAGAAAAAGATTTTCTGTGAGTGCAAACATCCTATTTTATTATATTTTTAATATTTATTATTATTATTTCCTCGGTTAGTGAGAGTTGCTGTCTGGTGATCATGTAATAACCCCTCAGAAGATATGATGCATTGCATGTTAGTTGGTTGTTCTGTGCTCTGTGTTCTGTATGAACATCACAGTCACAACTTTACATATACTGTGTGACAGTGTAAATATGTCCCAAATTAAGTTACTATGTGACTTCTTAAAGAAGGGAAAAGCTTGACTTTACTCCCCATAAATTATTTAAATAATCCTTTATTTGTACATCACAAGCTCCCCTTCTGAGATACTGCAGCTCAATGTATGAAGGTGTGAGGCAATTCTGGAATATGTGTGGCCTGCTGCTAACTGAAAAGCTACAGGCTTCTGAATCAACATTGACAATGCTGATGACCACACTCGCTGTAACTCTCTCGCTGTAATCTTCTCGTCCCACTGTAGTACATGCAGGCACAGTTTACTTAAAGGAGTACTATGAGGTGAGTGATTTCCACTCATCCTCATAGTTAGAGCCGACCTGTGACAAAGAAGCTGTCATAGGTCGGCTGTATCGATCGGGAAGTGAGTGGAAACATGCACCGATCCCTCACTTCCCGATCGTCTCCCTGCAGTGAACGATGACTGTCAGTCACCGCTCCCCACAGGGATCCCCCCCTCCGATCCACCAGCGCTGAGTGGAGGAACGAACAGGGGAGGGGGCGGGCACAGCTGGCTCTGCCTCTAGATAGGCAGAGCCAGCTGTCACTCATGCCGCTGGGTGGATCTCGCCAATATTGTGAGGATCCGTCCCGGCTGCGGCGCTCTCAGTATATCGTAGGCAATAGCCCGCGATATACTGAACTTTGGGTCACGGGAGGAGGTTAGTATATGTCCTCCTATGACCCCAAAGAGAACTTTGGGGAAAAACACTTACCCCATAGTTCTCTTTTAAGCGTGACAATGCTGCTTTGAATGTAGAAACAATGCAGCAGCTTTGTCCCCTTATCACATCAAGCTGCATAAGGTGGACTACAGTGGCAGGATCAATGTATTTGTGCCAAGGCAGTCCATATTCTTTTAATGAGGGGCCGTAGTTCTTTTTTAACAGTTCTATCCCATTTATTACTATGAATCACATATCTCTTAAGCTGACCGTACACTATGCAATATGAATGTACAGTCACCTTTAAATCTAAACAACTACGTAGTTCAGGGGCCCGCCTGACGGAATATACATTGAATGGATTATTTCAGTTTCTCTTTATATTACATAGTTTGGGTAAATTCAAAAGAAATTGTGCAATCAGATTGTATATGACCAGCTTAATAGAAGACATAGAGCGCCTGATGTTTGCTTATCTCTTAATGTCATAAACAATTCTAATCTATATTAATTAAAGCGAGAAATTGGATTCTTCAACCCACATACTGTACATATTTCATATATGCATTTGTATATCTGTTTGTATATAAATATAGTAAACAAAGTATTTGAGAACTACACAACCGTTAAAGGGTTTGTCCAGGCAAGTCTTCAATGGATTATCCACATCAGTAGGTGCTCATGTGCCTGTTGGTTACTGTGTAAACCTTTTATCTGACCTGATCTACAGTTCCAAATACTTAAGAGAATTGATGTTTAGTTTAATCATTAATTTTTTATGTAGCAGCACTGAACGTTCACACTGATCACATGATCATTCCTTTACAAACACCCAAGGCTGCTGAAGCATGTTCCTCTATGTTTGGATAGCTGTCATTTCAGGTGTTCTGATACTGTCCTGTGTGTTTCAAAATAATTCTGATAGGTTATTTAGACTCTATCTAAAATCAGACTTGAAGAGTGTGCACATGACTCTGCTTTTACTTGGACCGGCATGAATGATTTCATATACTTTATAAGGTATCAGGAAACGTCCACGCACTCTTCCTTATATTGTAAAGCGCTGCGCAAACTGTTGGTGCTATATAAATCCTGTATAATAATAATATTACATGAACATATGCAGCTGGTATGAAAGGTCTCTGGGCTGTGCTTTTACATTGAGTCCATGCTGGTATTTGTAATAATGGACCGAAGTCCCGGCAGGCAGGAGTGCAGGCCTATTGTTTTCTATGCATAGATCTGCTCAGGAAATTCCCTTTCCCTGGACAATGAATACTGAAAGCATGTTACAATGTACTCAAGCACATAAAAATGCTCCACAATGCATTATAAAGCTGACATATTAAAAATGCATGTGTTTTCACATTTAGATGTGTAAACTCTAAAACCTCATCTATAACAATATACTATACTTCGTCAATAACGAGCTCGTCTGAATCCTGCGAGCACCCTTTACGGCCCCCTAGAAAACAACTAGATTATCATTTATGGCCATTAACATTTTCTGAACAGATACTAGGTAAGCTGACTGCTGGGCTTAAGTACAAAGTTATTAACTGAATTCAGTTGTTTTTTTTAAAAATCAGATAGTTTATTGATTTTTCAATAAAAACATTAGTACAAATAAAAAAAAAGAGTAAACAAAATAAAAAGGAGGTGCACATTTGAAGAACAATAGCCACATGTCAAACAGTACAGAAGTATTATGTATACTTTATACCTCTCGCAGTTCACATCTGCTGGTGTAGCTCTAGCAGCACATATATACCGAGTAAACCCAGGAGGATGGTACATATACAGGCTGTTTACTCATGCGCCTCCTGTCCACGGGAAGACAGTCAGTTGGACCACATAGAAGCAAATTTATTCTTATTGCCTCTCTGCTGAAAAGTGACACGTTCATAGTCAACCATCCTATCCATTTCACTAAGCCATAGCTCCAGTGTGGGGGGAGAAGTAGAGACCCACCTACACACCACCAGCCTTGACGTAGTGAATAGTGCTCGTTTAATGGCCACAGTCGTATGGGAGGTTAAATCCGGCTGAATCATGAATGCCCAGGATGCAAACAAGTGGGGAATTAGTTAGTGAGGATTCAAAAACAGAGTTAATGACGCCCAAGACCTCGCCCCAATACCTTACTAGCTTAGGGCATCTCCACAGTAGATGAATTAAAGAAATTCAGGTGTGCGACTGAATTCAGTTTTAACCAGTTGTACACATTAATCAATCAAAATAAAAAGCGCTAAAGGTATTAAATAATTGTGTTTAAATAATTGTGTATAAAAAGTGGAAGATAGGTTTTCAGGCGAGTCGGCCTGGAGCCTGTTAATGTATATGAAAGGTGATTAATAAACCAATACAAAATTGCTGTGATAAAAATAAAACATAAAAACCAATCAAATTGTCCAATAAAGTCATATAAAAATCCTGTGAAACATCAAAAAGTGTTCCTTATGAAAAAAAATACGGTGAACCCTGTGTATAAACAAAAGGTATCAGTGTATTTAAGGTGGTCCGAACTGCCCCTCTCGGGTGGGTACTCACCAAATAGAAGCTGATCAAAAGAGTTCTTAGTGAGTAATAGCGTAGTTGGACTTGAGCGCAAACGTGTTCTCCACGAGTCCCGGCAGACGAACACTTGGCTTTCTCCCCTATATTGCTGGCTATGTCTCAGGGATGAGGAGATCGATCCTTTTAGACGCGGTGTTGGTAAAGTGCTTTGTCGTGGTCCCACAGGGTTTTAGAGACGAACAAAGAAGAGAACCTTCATAGCGTAATATGTAAAACCATAAACTTTTATTCCAATACGGCTCACAAGGCAAAAAAATCCGGCCGGCTAGAGCAGCTCAGGAACAAAACATAAAAGTCTCGTGTCTAACAAACTTGCATCTGCCCTCCTTTGACGCGTTTCGTCATGTGACTTCCTCAGAAAGAAGGTAGAAGATGTTGTACACATTGCCCCCAAAATAATTTTATTGACGTACCAGGGTGTACATAGTGTGCACTGTCCTTCTCCCCGCCCCACCTGCTGATTTTTATTTTTTTTATAATTAAACTGTTTTTGTTTCTTCATTTTGCTCTTTAATTTTTTTTTTTTTTATAATTAAACTGTTTTTGTTTCTTCATTTTGCTCTTTAATTTTTTTTTTTTTTTAGTGTCGCATTAAAATAAGGCACAAACTTGAGAAAAACCTTTATTTCATTTGTAAATGATTTTGCAGTGCTCTGTATAAGAATCATCATTTTAGTGCAGCTTTAAACGGGACAAATTATAGCCCCAAGAAAATGCCACACACCACTCTTTCACCATGTATGTAGTTTATTTCATCCTGCAGCCAGCATGGTGTAGCCTCCCAATGCTAACATGTTTCACCCTTAAAGGCTTAGTCGTGGAGACACATTATTATTATCATACAGGATTTATATAGCGCCAACAGCTTGCGCAGCGCTTTACAAAACTGAGGGAGACAGTACAGTTAACAGTACAATTTCAGTACAGGAGGTAGGAGGGCCCTGCTCGTGAGAGCTTACAATCTAATAGATGATAGAATAAATAATTTTAAAAACACTGATCAAAGTAGAAAAAGTGTTTGTTTTTGTTTTGTTAATTTTTTTTTTTTTGTCTGTGGATTGCATCCAAAATAAAATAATTTTGGCAAAACAATGCTACCAAAAGAAAACCTTGTTTGCCCTAAAAATGACATATGTGAATAAACAGGAATTGCTTTGGACCAGGGGGAGAGGGGGGGGGGGACAGGTGTGAGAGCTAAAGAGGTTAATAAATATTTGCCTAGATTTTGAATAGCACTACAATATTCATTAAATAATTTGCTGTATCTGTAGCCTCACAGACAATATAATCATTTTCTGTTCCTAGACACACTATGACGGCAAGCCCTTCCAGTATAAGTACAAGCCTCCATCTGCTGACCTTTGTACTCGGGTGAACGCAGTGCGGTAAGTGTCATGTTATGAACTGTTGTTGATATTTTTTTTTCTTGTGGGAAATTCATTTATAACTGTTCCCGCTTGATGTGGTTGACACAGAAAATTCTGTTATCACTTTGTGCAGTTAAAGTTTTGGTTTATCCAGTTTGGACAACCATAGAAGCAGAGAGTCTCCGGGGTTTAGCAGTGCTGCAGTTTGATGAGTGTACATCATTTAGGCCAGATATGAATTGTTCATGCACTTTGAAATAATGTGGCAGTACAGTTTTCTGCACTGCCTTTGCTGCCGGTACAGCAAGGGAGTGGCTTGGTAGACAAGAGGTGGGGCTTAGTAGAAAAAGGGTAGACTGGCACATTTTTGAAAAGTAAGGTGACATTTCAGGTGTTCTATGGAGTCTGTCTGTATTATAGACATGTCATAAGAACTACTGTTAATAGTTTGCATCATTATTATATTTGTGACTAGCGTGGGGAAAAATAAAAATTGGTGACCCTATTCCCCTCGACAGAGGTCAATTATTAGATCAACTTTTGCGGAAGGAACATGTTGGGATTACCTCAGCTGAATGGGGCCAATGAGCTGCCAGCACCATTCCTTAGTCTGACAGCGGCCGGCGCTGCTGTCAGAATATAAGGTACACAGCAGGTGATTCGTCTATCCACACTGTTTAGCGTGGCTGGAGGAGTCTGTTATACATTTTTATTTTTTATTCAGCCAGCAGCTCAAGCGAAAAAAATATATACAGTTGTGTGTATATATTAATAATAAAAACCTTCCTTTAAAAACTGCATGTTGCATTTACTTGTGTTATCTTTGACTAATATTTACATTTGTTTGATGATCTGAAACATTAAAGTGTGACAAACATGCAAAACAATGAGAAATCAGGAAGGGGGCCAACACTTTTTCACACAACTGTAATTGTGTATAGCCAGCTATAGACAGTTGCCGCCCAAACGGGTGTATCTAATGCAAGATTTCCTCATAACTTCTGTTTCTGTGACAGTGATAACATTTTGGATTGACATCACTTCCTGTACTGATGACCGTGGTCACCAGGACAAATAGAGGGGTAATTCTCCCCTGCAGGGGCACAGACAGGAATAAAAACCTGGCATGGATCTATCCCTTCTTTATTTATTCCACAGTTAGAAAAACGTTTCATCTATAAATACACTACAAGATTTATTTTGTATGTCTTGTTTTTGAAGGATTTTTTTTCCCCCAAACCGAACATCAAGACTGATGCCACATGATAATATTAAACAGGTTTTGTCACCATGACTTTAAAAAACTAGAAGACTATATCATTCCTTTTCTCCCGAATGACCTGCACATCACAGATGCTGCAAAAGTGTCAGCGGGACCACATATGTAAACAAAGGCTTTCATCAAGCCAATCACATTGTTTGTGAAAACAACAATGACCTCCTCACATTCTGTAGTTATTCTGCCAGGTAGCTGTTATCTGGAGGCTGTGGAGATCTAAAGGAAGTGGAGCCTGCACTCCACTTTCAAACCAAACTAGCAAGGACTGGCAAATTTTACAGCATGCAAACATAATGGGATCTTGCTGAGGATCAAAGGATATTGGCTGGAAGCCATGACTCAAATATAAATAATGTAAAAGAATGGAAACAGTGAAACCTGATATACCAAACCCCGAAGAAGCCACATACAGTGTTCAGTATCAATAGAGGAAGCTCTAGAAATATATTTGTCATTTCTTCCAAAAGGGCTGTCTCGTGGGGACACTTGTAGGTGTTGCCGCACCTCCTCTTGCATCATCCCTATATACACAATCGATTACCATTCTATCAGGGAGAACAGAGCCACTATAAAGGCCCCAGCAAACTCACAGACTTGAATAACTCATTGCATTGATTTTCCACTGGTCTCCCGGAAATAAATAAAAAACCTTTACAGCATCTGCCAAAATTAAACACTTGCTTTTAGATGATGCTAATACCTAACATAGCAGCAGTAGGGGGAATCATTTTACATTTTATCTGGTAGTAGCAGCACTGACCAAAAAAGCCCCAGAAATAATATAGCTGAAGTTGGGTTGGGTTGACAGAGACCTGTTTCTTCAGTTTTTACACAATTCTTAGCACAAGGTCATATTTTCTATTTCTTCCTTCTGGATAGGATGCCCGCAGACCTGCATCAGTGGGCAGTTACGATTCTTTCTGAAGCCAAGAAAACCCATCCATAGGATCTATCCTGTTGTTTCTAAGGCTGAGAACCACTTCACCCGTCAAGGACGAAAACAGAAGAATGACTTTGGCTGGCCTTAGCTGAGCAGACATCTTACAGAGAATGATGGGCAATGATGTTTGCTTTTCCTCCAAAGCATCATCTCTCCGACTGATGAGTGAATAAAACCTAAGTACAGTGACATTTTGCTTCCTTTATGTTCACACGCATATTTTCCAGCAAGTTTTACAGTTGCTTTATATGGTTTGGACAGTTTGAACTTTTTTCTGCTTCTAGGGAATCCATGTACAACCTGATGCTCGCCTGATTGTCACAAGCAGTAACCAAAGCAGTCACATTGCTTGTATAGATGCGGTCATATGGCCACCGCTAATTGCCTCTGGCTGTTTTAATGTTTCTTATAGAGTACTAGGGGCTCTATATGTATGTATTATACTACTCTATAAAGGCCTGTGCCTACTGGATATCCTTGTCTTTATAGAAAAAAAAACCCATAAAAATAGTTATTACAACAACAAAAAAAAGCTAAATACGTTCGAATAAAATAGCTGCAATACCCTTTGCTCATGATTACTTGCACTGAGACAGATAAAATGTGAGTTTGGCTCAATGAGTCTGTTGTGGATTTTCAAAACCTTTGTGACAAACTTGTTAGTGATTTTATGTGATTTCAGAGCAGTGAACCACATGGTAAAAACAGGATACATGATGTAAGAGTCAAAGAATGACCATGGCATCGGTACATCCAGTGTGTGAGCATAAAATCTTTGGATCATTTTGTTTTGGGAATGGTTTTCCTTGCTTCTGTTGACTCCTTTATAAACAGCCAACAAGTGGATTAAGGAAGAACTTCCTTTAGGTACCCTTTACTTGCTTGTGAACGTGCAGTCATGTGACGGCTTCCCTCTTCAGTGTTCCGTGTGCTCGGGCAGTAGGCAAAAAGCATGGGTGCGCATCAACTTCACCTCTATAAGGTACACAGCCAGGGACTAAAATCCCTTATGAATTGAGCATTGCTGCAATGTCATCATTTCACCCCCATAGTCATACAGGGGGGCTTGAACTGGCTGGCTGGGGCAGGAAGCTGTTGCATGACTCTGAGTGCAGAATTGAAGACAGGATGCCGTCCACCAATAAAGGTAAGTTAAAAACAAAATGGAGTTCTGCTTTAGGTAGAGATATGAAAAAGGATCTGCTATATGAACATTCCTGAAATATAGAATACAGAATATACACATACTGTATGCAACTACAAATAATAGTCTACTACTGACATATTCATCTGTAAAATGAGGTGCCTGTGCAAACCACTGGGCTAACACAGAAGACTTAAGGTTCATTTTCACTTTCACAGCCAAATTGGAATAACACTTACTTTATATTTGTTACATGTTCCCATTCACAGAGCATAACTTTTAAAAAAATTAAAAGCTGCAGCTTACCTTTTTTTTAGATGCTCTTTCTGCTAATTTCAGGACTGAAAAATCCTGCTTAGTTCTCACTCTCTAAGGGTTGGGGGGAGTTTTGTTTCAAATAATTAACCCTGTCTGTACTGTGCTGTCAGATTTCATCATCACTTGTAAACTTGATGAGCAGGACTGTCTGTCCTAACAAAGGGGTTAAAGCTCTAAAGACATTGAAGGGAATTTATCAAAACTGGAGCAAACAAAATCTGGAGCAGCTGTGCATGGCAACCAATCAGCGTCTCTGTTTTATTTTCAAATCTTAACTGAACAAACTGAAGAGAGAAGCTGATTGGTTGTCATGGACAGCTGCTCCAGTTTTTGTCTGCTCCAGATTTGATAAATTCCCCCCACTGTATGTTAATGAGTAGACAATCAGTCTGTCTTGAAGTGTATTTCCACTTTTGCAGTCAAATTTGAGAAAACCCTTCTATATGATTGTTATGTGTTCCTATTCACACAGCATAACATAAAAAAAAAATTTTTTTTTTAATATTTACCTTTTTTAGATGTTTTGTTACAGCAGGCAACATGTCTGAGTTCAGGTTTTTCTCAGCACCTTCACAGTGATCTGTTCTTATAGACAGATTTAGGACTGAAATTTGAGGATTGTGTTTCTCTCATTAACTTCATTAACATTCAATGGAGAAGCCAGGGTTGTAATCCTTTAACCCCTCACAGCCCCTCCTAACGTTACAAAGAAGAGGGAGAAGAAACCCTAACCCAGGTAAAAGCAATTTAAACGGCATGACACATGAATAGAAACAGGCATAACTAGACATTACAGAGCCCCATAGCAAAATTTTGTATGGGGCCCTGTGATTTCTAGTTATGCCCCTTGCAGAGCCCACCTGAGATCCCACACAGCTCACCTGAGAGTGGCCCTGCAGAGCCCACTCAGAGACTATGGTGGGCTCTGCAGGGTCTCAGGTGGGCTGGTCATACCCAAGCACACGTCTTACCTGTCAGCCCCAATCTGCTGTCAGCTTCCTCCCCTGCAGGGCCCCCGCCTCCTCCATGGTCGCCT